TGCCAGTTTCAAAGGTTCTCAAAAGATATTTGGAGAAGTTGAGGTTGAGCACCTTTCCAGTTATTTATTTTTGTTTGTTTGTGAGTTGAAGTGGTAATTGTTGAGAGAGATAAATATAATAAGAGAATAAATAAAATCTTAACGGCTCTACTAAAATCCACAAAATATTTCTTTCAGCCTGCTTAAGGTACATTTTAGGTTGTTTTAATGTATTGTGTGAGCTTTGAATATTGTGTCTCACATTACTAAATTTTCTAAATTCTGCAGATTTTCATTTTGGATCCGTTTGGGTCTGGAACGATGACACCTTAAGAGATGAAGGCCAAAATCCACAGTCCTCCTTCTGTGTAAAAATACATTGTAATGTTCAGCCAAAACTAATATCAGACATTCGAATAGATATTTTGCAAAGTTTTAATCTTTTTATTTTGAAATTCGCAATTCTTCTGCTTTGTGCCCTTGCTGAGCCATGGTGGAGGGATACGTCTCGGTAGTCTCATGTAGGTTTGTTCACAGGACAAAGCATCAACAATAGCTACACTCAGGACGAGGGTATTCACTCAGTTCTGAAGCCTTGTATTAGCTTTAGCTGGACAATACAGTGCATTTTTGTACAGGGTCTTAAGATTCCTTCAGGGCCAATATGGAGGGAATGAATACAATGACCATAACTCTTAACAATACAAACAATATGTACATTGAGTGTTGTATTAACATAGACTAATTATATCAACACATCTTCCAAAGCAGCATTATCGTTGTCTTATTTTTGTTGCATTTGTTACATCACACACAATAATTACTCACCTGATATAATAACACATCAATCATTCACCTGTTTTCAGATTTCAGGTTTTTGAGTTATCATCTACTTTTAAGGATCTGTGGGTTGTGTTTTTAGTTCACTTCAATTCAATTTTAAGGGGGTACAGTGTCACTTCTTGTAATCACTTCCTGTAATCCTGTAAAGATTAGGTCTAGCCTGTTTCTGATTTGAACTTAATAACTGTCCATTAGCTTTGCTGACCAACAATTATTGCCTGTCTGGGCTGAAAACAAGAATTAGATTTCTCGTCCAGACAGAGATGAGTCTGCTGCTTTTTTTTGAAACAACAATAACTGACAATGTCTTTTTTATCTGCTCTGTATCGCTCTCTCTCTCTCTCTCTCTCTCTCTTCTCTCTCTGTCTCTCTCTTTCCCTACTCTGTCTCTCTTTTGCTAAAGAAAAAACTCAAAGGTGCAGATCAGTCGTGTCCGTGTGGAAGACTCTGGCAACTACACCTGTGTGGCTGAAAACTCACTAGGACAAGAAAACCTCACGAGTATAATCAGCGTACAGATCTGTGAGCTATCTATCTATCTATCTATCTATCGCTATATCTATCTATCTATGTTCATCTAATCTGACTATCTATCTATCTATCTATCTATCTATCTATCTATATAATCTGAATGTGTTTGAGAGTTTCTTTCATCTGTCTTTCTGAAAAACTAAAATGATTAGAATAGAATAGAATCACATGTTTATTGTAAAAACTATATAATAGCAAAGATGTCACAAACCCAATTTGTCGACTATGGTCAAACTGTGTTGTGTTACGTGGTCTGTGTCACCATACAGTCTCAGTGAGTGTAGTCCATTTTTCCTCTTTCGATTTTGCTCATTCTGTGAAACATTCTTAACAATCTCTAAACTGTAAGAGCAATTGCTTTAAAGAACATCACAACTCTATTGCATGTTATCCAAAACATTTCATTCATGCTTCAAAAGCTACTTATTGTGTCAGAAATTGGCAAGAATGTAAGTTTTGTCTAGCTGAATGTTGAATGTTGCTTCTTAGATTTCAGCAGTAGGTTAAAGTTTACAAAACTGCAGTACATAGAGAAAGGCTATGCACATTGGTATGTATACAGTAACAGTATCTTCCATATAAAGTTATATACAGTGAACAGAAAATTTTACACAAAATGGCACCAAAGCCAAAAAAACCATCAGCGATAGGTTAGTAAAAAACAATGGCTACAGCAGCACTTGGACTTGGTGTATTGGACGCCAGCTCTACCAGGTAAGCTACCAGGGAGCCCCCAATTGTAGCTAATTGTTTGCACATGTGTGCCGAAACACAGGCAATGTGCTTGAATGAATGAGAAATTAAAATCTGAATTAATTGTTCAGAGATTTGAACAAATACTTTAGAAAAATAAATTATTCTCATTTAATAACTGAGCAAAACCAAATGAGAAAAAACTCTTATTGTCCAGCTGTTGTATGTTGTATTAGACTGTTTTACAGGTTGTGTAAATCTGTCCAGGAGTAACAAAACAGAGAGGAAAAACTTAAAATGCATTACAGTACATCACTCATAGATATATAGTTTTTGAGGTTCATGTTCGTGAGGAAGAAGACAGAAGTGAGTTGGGGGTGGGGGAGCAGGTTGAACCTGGCTCTTTCCATTCACAAAACCAGCAACTGTGAGCTGGGGCGCTGCAGCGAGCACAGGAAAGTGACTGATGCCTGCCCAAAAAGTAGATAGATTTGTCACACTAAGCTCTTTGAAATTCACTAAAGAGCTCTGAAAGGTATGTGGCAAAGTGTGGTATGATGTTACAACTATGGCTGCCATCAAATGTGAAATGTGAAAAAAAAAAGGAGTTGACAGCATTTTCTTTGCATGTGTTTCCTGTCTGACTGTCCTCCCTGTAGTGACCACCACCACCCCGTCTCCAGGTGTGAGTCACGCCAGGCGCTGCAATGACTCGGAGAAGGCCTACTGCGTCAACGGGGGAGACTGTTACTTCATACATGGTATTAACCAGCTGTCCTGCAAGTAAGTTGATTGCTCAGTCGCCCCCCCCCCGTCCCCTCAGTCATCACTGTGTAGTCGCTCCCCCCGTCTCTCCTCCCTCCCTCTCTCTGCCTGTCTGCCTCTCTCTGTCTCTCTGGTCTCAGACACCGTGTCGCTGGTCACTGCACTACCTTGTCTTCTGTTCCCTCGTTGTATCCTCCCCACATACATGCACCGGCAGCCCACCTAGCCGCTTTCTATGAAATGTTTTTACCAGTTGTTTCAAAAGATAAGGTTTTATCTTTATTATTTAGAGCAGTTGGCTTAAACAGATCTTGACTTGGACATTATGTCCACATGCATTCGAAATGTGTTGTGTCTTGCTGCAAGAGGATCATTTTAGTTTACAGTGAGTGAGTTTTACAGCAACACCTCAGAAAATGCTTCTGGTAACAGAAAATCATGAAAAAATGGAAAGTAATGCAAAGGTATTGAAAAAGAATTAACAGGTTAATTGTGTGTTTGCATTATAAACTACATTTATAAAATAAGTCTTTTTTTTACCATATGCATTTATTTAATTAACAATGAAAATACTCAGCCCAACTATTGCAGATAAAATGCAAATTACAGCAAAACCCATGCTGTGAGTTCCACCTGTTAGCAATACGCTAGTAGAACCCAATGGAAACAATTAGCATTCTTGTTACGAGGGAAAATTGTAGGTGTGGTTTTTTCTTGAGTCAATATGCAGGGTGATGACAGCGTATCTAGTTTGTTGTTGTTATGGTTAATATTTATATAAATATATATACATATACATACACATATATATTTAAAAGTTAAAACTGTGTAGCAGTCTTTATCAGACAGAAGAAGGTAGCTTGTGTAACATAGCAGGGGATTTTACTTTTGCTTACCCTGCAGAGCACAGTGTTGCTCAGAAGAACGTCACAGGAATTAAAAGTTAAAGAGGACGTCCCGCTGACGTAGTTTATAGGCTGCTGTCTCTGCTGTCGGTCACTCTGTTGGCATGTAACCACAAAACGCTTTGCATGCTGAGGACACCTACTAAAGCAAAGAGGACAGAGGAGACAAGATTGAAATATTTGGAAATGTACAGTTATTTGTACAGATTTTTTATTATTATTCAGTTTATTATGCTCACTATCATCTATCATTAGCCACTATTAGCAGCTATGCCAGTTACTTAGCAACCATAATCACGGTATTGCTAATCCTAATAAAGTCCCGCCCCTTTTTGCTCTGTGCTCCAATAACAATAAAAACCAATAGTTGAATATCTGAAGCTGCTCCCAAGTGAAGTATTAGCATTAATTACTAAACTAAAACTGCCGCCTGTTGATACTAATGGTTGGATTATTAACTGTGAAAAGTCCACCTCATGCAGGGGATCGTAGGGAAGCTAGCTAAATAGCTAAACTGAGATTAAAGATGCGATTGCGTGAATCTGAATCCATCTGACAATGTTTAATGAAAAATGACTGCAAGTCACACAGGATTTTATTTTACTATGGCATGATCCGAAATATGATATTTGCATATTTAATGCACGTCCATCTGTTTTTAAGTTGTCTCCCTCTGGTGCTGCAAAATACATGACTACAGTACCGTACACTACAGTACAGTACAGTACAGAAGGCCTGCTATAATTCTATTGTTCCTTCCTCATCATCAAGTATTACAATATTTTGATGTCGAAGCTTCATACTACCTTTAGTATAAAATAGTCTGCTGCAGGTTAATCTGTGATTGTGTAACTGACACTTGTGCTGTGGTTTGTTCACATGTCGACCTGATGCACATTTTAGTGAAAGAAGCTACCAAATCCACATCATCCAAACAATGTCCATTCTCTTATTGTTTGTTTTTCAGCCTTTACTTTGTGACAAGGAACCCTGTAGTTGCTACGTTATTTGGCAGCTGACACTCACAAGTTTTGGATGACAGGAGCAGCAGAGCAGAGCAGTCTGTATGATTTTCTTTTCACTCTGAACGCGTTTAGCAGGTGCTGTATAGGGATAACGTGAGTAAGACATACACAGCTCGGGCCTGACAAACATTAGTCTTCCAAATATCTCCTTCCCCCTTTTTCCTGTTTTTTTCTCCTTTTCTCTGTGACTGTTTGTGTCACCATGTTTTGTGTTGTCCCAGTTGGAAGGAGACAGGACGATGTTTGACATATTGGTCATATTCATGGCAGGTTGGATCTGAAATGTAGTGTAGTAGTAATGATGCCACAACTATTTCTGCATTGACGCAGACCAGGAGTGGTTAACAGGGTTCACAGCATGCAAAGTTTCTAGTTTTTCTTCTTTTTCTATTTATTTGAAATAAACTGTTAACATAAAATGCATCACTTCCTGTGAGTGGGAGGATTTTTCCCAGGAAAGAGCTACCAGACTGGTAGGTGTTTAGAACAGCAAGTGCAAAAAAGAAAATTCATGAACTGCATATTAGATGAATCACTGCTGTGTTATATCAACTTATTACAGAGAAAAAACAGACATTTATTTATATTAACATGTCACAGGTTACAGCTCCACAACACAATAAAAGAAGGTGCATCATAACATCGTAATTATTAGTTGATTATGTAAAAAATAAATCCATATTTTCCATCATGTTTGCAAAGTGCTGTAACAGTAAAAACCCTGGCTGCAGCAAAGAGGCAACTTGTAGCTTGTAGCATATTACGCTAGTGTAGTAGAGCTGGAAAATAGCATCATATTGGCAAGTATCTGTTAACACTGGCCTTTTTCATGCCAACAGCTGTAAGCTACATCCAGTGTTTTACACTATAAACTGTATTTGCATCCAAAGCTGTGTATTAACCTAAGCTATGAAAAAATCTTTGTTTTCCACTTTGTGAAATGTATATTTTCTGAACTGGAGGTCGTAATCTTTCAGTTCAAACTGAAAGATACCATACATACTGGGTCATTTTGTAGATGTGTAACAAACACTTCCCCTGACAGTGCGGCTAACAGATGGCGTGTATTGTCGTGCATGATCAAGAGCTTTGTTGTTATGCTTCCTGTACAATTGGATGTATCTGCTAGAAATCCATCCTTAGATCCTTTGGTGTCTGTTCCAGATCTGCACTCTTTGTTTCTTTGTTTCCTCATTTCCATCTCTCTCTCTCTCTCTCTCTCCCTCTGTCTCTCTCTTCTCTCGTCCTCTACATTACCATTTCTTATCCCTTGCTCTCCCGTCTTCACACTCTCTCTCTCCTCTCCTCGTCCTCTCTCTCTCTCTCTCTATCTCTATCTCTCATCTGATATACCTTCCGGTCATTGCTGAAGGATAAATCAGGATTTTTTTTTCATGCTGCTGACAAGCAGAAAACTTTGTTCGAGAGGGTGCATATAGACATTACGGGCTGCGTATATAGCAATTTAGGGGTACAAAATGTGCAGGATTGTACAACCTTATGTGCATGATTGTGCTACATACGAACACACTGCATATTTCAAGAAGCCACAGCAGCCTAGCAAGGTAGCAGCAGACTAGCCAGCAGTTTCCAGAGAGTTACTGTAGCTTCTCAGCTTTGTCATCCTTTGTTGGCCTGTCTGTTTGGGGCAGTGGATCACAGGATGTAAATAAGACTGCTGTCTGTAGACTGTCTGCTTGGCTTGTTCACTTCAGAGATATGTAGACCCCCACTCACACGCAAAGATGTTTACGGTTCTGCAGCTGCAAATCAGTGCACTACATGGTTCTGGCAGGCTGCAAAAACTGTTAATATCCCTGAAATTTGAGGTGGTATTTGCAAGCTCTGTTGTGCCGACTATGGAAACGTATAATCTCCTCTTCCCTGAAGGGGAAAGTAATGCTGTACTGCAAAATGGAGTCTGTAGGTTAAAGTGGAGGACAGCACACACAGAAAGGCACCCTGGCTAAAACAGAGCGTGGAGGTTAAAGTGGAGATCAGCACATACAAACATGCCCCCTGGCTAGCTGTTGGCAGTTAAAGTTTGGTGTGTCTTGCCTTCTCAATGTTCCTTTTATGGTATAGTTTTCTGTGTATATCTGCAGATAGCTCTGACTCTGATTAGTCTGAACTTTGTTGCTAAACTCCAGTCTGGTAGCCAGCAGAAAACATTAGCCCATGTATTTCCATCTATAGGTTGAAAATGCCAAATTTGAATCAATAAAGTTAATTTAATCTAATCTAATCTACAAATGCCATGAGTTCAGGCTAGTATTGATGCCTGGACATAATGTCCATGGCTGTCTGTGGTTTTTTTCTCTTAAATTTGATGAGCCTTTGTATAATTCATATAACAAAATGAATCACAGGCTCTGCTTTCATTCAGATGGTTGGAACAAAAGGTGTGCTGGTTTTTACCCCCTCTTTGCTCGTTCTCAGGGCTGAAAGTCAGAGGGGGAAAAAAGGGAAAGCTAGCACAGGTAGATAAAGAAAGGTTGGCGAAAAGAGGGGAAATGAGAAGCAGAGAGAGAAAGAGAAAAGAAATGATATACAGTAAAAGCTCTGCCGGCATAAGGCTGCTTCTGCTCCGAGTGTCTCCCACCTCTCTCTCTCTCTCTGCTCTATTTATAACTCTATGGGAAATTGCTGAGTGGGCTCTTCCGAGGGTTTTTGCTGTAATTGATTCAAAATGCAAGTTGTCTCTTTAGTGGTGAGAAAGAGGAGAAAAGGATACCCAGTCAGTTATATGGACAGTATATGCATGAGGGTACGGCAAAGGTCCTTGCATTTTAAACCGGCTAACTCTGTTGACCAGATACTAAATCACTGTAATAAATACAGTATTATACCCAGAGAGCCTCTGTTTTCCTATAATGACTGTAATGGGGCCACACCCATAATATCAGTGTGGTTCATCAATTGCTGTGATTTATCTGCAGTGCCATGTGCACTGCTGTAGGATCAAATTTTCTATAACATGCCTATTTTTCATTTGACTGCAGTAAAAGCTGATCTACTATCAGTTATAGCCATTATTACATTATTAAATCAATTATGCCTGGCTGGGTAAAAGCCATGACACCCATTATAACACACAATTCAAGAGACCTACTCTTCTCAAAAAGAGCTTTTATTTTCTGAAGGACGTCAGTTTAAATGAGGTCCCGTAGTGCTTCATTTGAAGAGCTGATTAAAATTAACAGGAAAAAAATTCAAATCAAATATTTTGCTTCATGTATGTGTATCAATTTTCTAGTTGCTGTGATGCAGTGAGGAGCCTACTTGTTAGTTTCAGTGTTGTGAGTTTGATGGCTGGTGCCAGAATATGAATCATATTCAGCCCGTGGTATCGCTGACAGCTCGCCACCCATCCAGAAACAAAACACCACATTCTGCAGCTGCATGTAAACTATTGCTGTTATTTATGCCCAAGAAATACCAAAACCTATTCCAACCATTTTCATGCTCACACACTGTAGAGGGATCTCTCTCTCTCTCTCTCTCATTTCATCTCTCTTTCTTCCTCTCTCTTCTCTCTCTCTCTCCTTGTTCTCTGTCTCTCTCTGTCTCTCTTCTCTCTCTCTCTCTCTCTCTCTGTGCCGCTCTCTATTTTTACGTTCTTGTGAAAACCACTTATGTTTTACACATCCCCATTTTTGCATTTGTCGGAAGGTCATTTTGACAAGTCCTCATTCTTTAAGGCTTAGTTTACAGCCTTCATTTAGGGCTTTTTTATCGTTTGTGATGGGTTTACCACCCGGCTTTCACACTAAACACACAAACACAGCATCACACAGAGCAAGGATGTTGTTTTCAGTGGAGAATGCCGC